AAAAGGCCGAGTGTTTGTGAACATTGTGATAAGCTGGTAGAAAAGGCCAGGAGGACACTGGCAGGGAGGACATGAATGTGATGAAGCCATCTTCATTTGCTAATTGGAGCTCACTGGAGTTAGGCTTCTCCCTTCCCACCGAGCCTGCTATTTTTCTTGATGATTATATTTCACAGGGATGGCTCCCAGGTCCTTGAGAAAGACATTTTTGGATTGTAGAAGATTTACCTTTCAAAGTGGTAGAGAAATAATTTATAATTGCAAGTTTTCTAAAGCAAATGATCTACAAAAGGGACGGTTAGTCAAGAAGAGTTTGTTTAAAGTTTAGTCAAGCTGGGATGAATGTCAGTGCTCTCTTAGTAATTGCTACTGTTTATTGAGCTCTAGAAGTCAGATACTGGCATTGAACTTACATTTATTGGCAATCTTCCCAAAAACTCTGTGTGTGTTTCTATGTGTGTGTTTGTGTGTGTGTGTGTGTGTGTGTGTGTGTGTTTTCCAACAACTTTTCAAGAAAGTTGTACTTTTGCCCTATTCTACAGAGGAACATTACAGATGAGAAATCTAAGATTTGATGGGTTTAAATAACTTACCCAAAGTCACACATCAAGTAAGTGCTACAGCCAGAATTTGAACCTAGAGAGTTTGCCCACCGGCAGAGACAATACATTTTATGACCAGAGCATCCACTTCATGGATGAATATTCAGAGCAGCAGCAGAATCATTGCCAAATACTTCTAGAGAATGTGCACATAATAGATTTGCTGTTGTCATGTCATCTTGAGAAGAATGCTCTTTTCACTATGACCTAGCTGCACTCTGGGGTATACCTACAAATACAATAGCATATGGTTTTTTGTCTCAATTTTAGAAGAACCCCAGTTAATCAAGCTCTATACTTGCTCATAAAGATGAATTTTTTTTTAGGCAGAGTGAGAATTTTTTTAATATTTATTTTTTAGTTTTCAGTGGACACAACATCTTTATTTTATATTTTTGTGTTGCTGAGGATTGAACCCAGCTCCCCATGCATGCCAGGCGAGCATGCTACCGCTTGAGCCACATCTCCAGCCCCATAAAGAGGAATTCTAATAGAAAAAAATAACGAAAGACTAAGTATAGCCCTTAAAATGTAATATTAGAATGCAAACTTGTTTTAATATCTAAATTAATATAATGTATTAATATAATGTATCATTTTAATAGATCAAGCAAATCCTCCCATGATCCTGAAATGCATTTGCCAAATTCGGTATTCATTCATGATAAAACTTCCCATAAAATAGGAATAAAAGGAAATTTATTTATCCTGATAAAGACCATCTTTAAAAAACTCAAAACACCATTCATAAGAGTGGAAGACTAAATATTCTGCCTCTTAGATTGAGAATGATAATGAGATAAGGATGTTCACTCTCACCACTTCTATGTAACATCACATTGGGGATTTTAACCATTGCAAAAGGCAAGGAAAAAAAAAAAACATCCAGATAGTTAATGAAGAAATAATTGCAAATAATTGTTGTTATTTGCAGATAATATAACTTTATGAAGAAAATCAGATGGAAACTACCAAAAAAGCAATAAGAATTAAAAAATGAGTTTTGCATTGTAGAGTATAAAATTGGCATCCAAAAATAAACTGCATTTCCTTTATAATAGCAATGAACATTATACAAGTGAAATTAAGAAAATAATTTAATTCTCAATAGCATTAAAGAGTATACTTAGGAATACATTTAACAAAGGAAGTATAAGACTTAGACATTGAAAACTATAAAATATTACTGAGAGCATCTTAAAGATAGCTAATAAATGAATATGTATTTTTATTTGATTGAAGGCTCAACATAGTCATATGGCAAATATTACCTTATGAATCTATAAGTTAAATGCAAACTTTATCATAATCCCCATATAAATTTTTGTAAAAATTGACAAATCAATTCTAAAATTTATGTGGAAATCCAAAAGCCATAAAATGGCCAAAACAATTTCCAAAAACAGCATTGGCTGAATTTAATAAAACCAGAGTAATCAAGACAGTATGGTATTGGTACAGGAGTAGGAATATAGATCAAAGAAAGAGACTTGAAATTCCAGATATATTTCTGGTCAATTGATTTTGTTACTCTAGATTTATTAAAAACTAAAAATTTTGTGTCTTCTGCATCTGTCTCTGCAGGGTTAGACTTAAGTAAATGATAACCCAAGTAAAAACTAGGCATCAGCTTGTGTTAGAGCCAGGTACATTGGGCCTGGGGTGAGACAGAAGGAATTAGAAATAGGTAGAAAGGAAACATAAAGGAAAGACAGGAAATAAAATTTTAAAGATCCACCTGCTTTTCCAGGTCCATCAGTCCCTAAACCAGTCTCTTTCCCAAGCCTGTTTCTCCCAAATTCCTGTGAAATCTGAGCATTGTTATTGACCCCCACCCCCACCTCAAAAAATAGATTCAGTAAATAAAGATACAGTATTTTGAGAAATCTATAATTTAGGGGACTTTCCAGTGCTATTTACTAATAATGAAGAACATATCAGCCTAGGGATTCTGCATTTGACCTCCTCAAATCATCTTGAGATCACCAGACTGATATCATTCTGACATTTCCCATACTTACTGCTCACCAGATTTCCTTAGAAGAGCTGGAAATTCCCAAAATATGTCCCTCACTCTCCAGATGGCCTGCATTCTCCCTGAATATATTCCTTTCTTTATAATCAGAGACGCTTCTCTCTGGAGATTGCTCCCATTCTTCCTTGAACGTGTACCTACTTTCTCAAACAAATCTGTGTATGCCTCTGACTGGTGAGGGCTAAAATTATTTTCTGTCTTTTAAGCAAAGGACCACACTGGTCATGAGTCAAGTTCCCAACTTCTTAGACCCTCCTCCAGAGACAATTCTTCTCCCATAACAGGCCCTCTTTTTAAAAAGAGAATTCAAACTTAGCTATGAAAGTGAGTATTTAGAATGAGGCAACACATTACAAAAACCATGCAGACGAATAGCACAAACATCACAAATTCCACAAAAATAGCAGTATTAGCTGTCTCCCACTTTTATAACAACTTTTTTCCCTATGTTTTTGGGCTATGTATGCTTCATACACCTTTAAGCATGATTGATAGACTTGGAAAGTTCAGAAAACTTTCCTGGAGTTTCACCATTCATTATTAGTCCTGCTGCATCTGAGTTTCCTGCTTATGCAAGAATTCAAAAGTCATGAGAAAACTTCAGCTCCCTGGTATCACTGGTTTGGGTTATAATGGCTGCCTCCGCAGCAGATGGATCACTTTTGTTAAACATTTGCCACCTCCTGTTAACCACTGGGTAGTACCTGAGAAGAGTGTGTGAAGAACAGAAATTTTTTCTTGAATCCTGGGTCACAATGACTCAAAAGAAAGAAGACATTTCCTTGGTCCTTTCCCTAGGGTCAAAGAATGGATCCTGAAACAGGTCATGACTAGAGGCTCCAGCTGATGGTGTTGCTGCTGAGAGGCTGCACATCCCACTATAGCCCCAGTACCATCCCCAGAATAGAGAGTGATTCCCAAGACTGGGCAGTAGTGAGTAGTGCTGAGGTAGAAAACATGAGAACAGGTAGGAAGGAGATGTAAGGGACAAGACAAGAGTGGCCAGATTTCAGGTCCACTTTCACATGGATTTAAAGTCCAGATTTTAAAGTCACTTTCACATACCTTGATCACAAATAGCACTATTCAATCAACTATTAGACCTTATCCTCAGGTACACCAAGGTAGTCCTGTGTTCACAAAGCAAAATGCATCAACAACAAGAATAAAATGACTTGGGGCCCACCCAGATAATGTCCAACATATCAATAAATGACACTCCTCCATCCCAGTAACATACCCAGTTAACAACACAAAAAAGAACTAAAATGCCCTCTTTGTGCCCTTCAGTAGATGAATGGATAAAGAAACTGTGGTATGGTATATATACACAATGGAATATTACTTAGCATTAAAAAAGAATAAATCATGGAATTTGCAGGTAAATGGATGAAGATGGAGAATTTTATGCTAAGTGAAGTAAGCCAATCCTAAAATACCAAATGCCAACTGTTTCCTCTGATATGAGAATGCTGATCCATAATGGGGATGGGGGCGCATGGGAGGAATGGAGGAATTTTAGAAAGGGCAAAGAGGAGGGAGAGGAAGAGAGAGGGCAGGGGGGTAGTAAAGACAGCGGAATGAAATGGACACCATTACCCCAAGTACATGTATGAATACACGAATGGTGTGACTCTACTTTGTGTACAGCCAGAGACATGAAAAATTGTCCTCTATATGTGTATTATAAGTTGAAATGCATTCTGCTGTCATATATAACAAATTAGAATAAATAAATAATTTTTTTAAAAAAATGCCTTCTTCAAGCGTGTCCCTGTACTACTGATATTGCATGTGTAAATATGACTACTAAGATGTAGCTAGCGTGTTCCTCTCCAACGCTCACACTCTATCTCTGTAAATGTTCACTTCTTTCTTTTATTCAATAAATTCAATCTGTGTTCACTCTGACTCATCCTCAAACTCCTTTTTGTGACATCAAGGACTCTTGTTCCAATGACAGTATTTTATGCCTCTGCACACCTCTGGGACCAGTGCTTCTTCCCTGGTTATTCAGAAAACACACAGTCTTAGAATAGCTAGTGCAAATGGAAGGCCTTAGAGATTAAGCCTCATTAGCAACCTGATAAATCCATTAATCCACCTCTGACCACAGCCGACACCCGTCTGGAGGGTGACTTGTATACATTACCAAATAATCCTCTGTCATGGTACGTTAAAAGGCAATTATCCACGTGTTCTCATTAGCATGACATCCCTACAAAAGACCTTGAAATCCGTTCAGAATTTGGATTTGGCCAAGTGGAGACCTGCCAAAGAATAGACTGTGTAAATAAAGAGGAGAGCAGACTGAACTGCCACTAGAGCTACTTATTTGCTGTGAGAATTTCTTTTGAAAGACTGAACACAGGGAAAGGACGATACTTTCCAGCTGGTAGCGAGAGCAGTCAACACGTGAGATCAGCACAAAACATACTGCAGACAAGGTCTTGGACAAACCAGAGCAACAGAGCATGAAAGATGTCCAGAAGGTTTCCATCAGCATGACAGTGAGTGCCCCTTTGCTGAGTCAATCGGTACCTTGTAAGTCCAGGGACCTAGAGGTGGCTGAGGGGAGAAAGTGGACACTCCAAAGATCACGCTGAAGCTTCTATCACCCACGAGTCTCCTGATGCCTGTGGTGTGGGTTTACGGCACTGGGAATCCTAGTGCAAAGGAACTTCTGGGGCAAGGAACCTGCTGTTATGAAGGGACCCCTAAACTGACTCACTTACTCAACCCATCCTGCTGCCTGGGGGACTCCAGACAGACACAAGAAGGAAAGTTCTAAAACTTTGTCACTTGACAAACTGAAGCTATTAATCCATCAAATTTAGGGTTGAAAATACACAAACCTCTGCTGTTTGTAGGACTTAGGGTAACATCAGATGACATGATCTGAATTCCAGGGAAGAGCCACTTCCACTGTGAGTCACCCAGTTCCCTTCATTCCAAGAAATGCCCCCATCATCCTGCCAACAACGATTTCTTGTGGTCATGAGGAGGTGATATTATTATTTTCCTCACCAGAGCCTCCTAGAACATGTAGCAGGCATGAGGATGCTTCCTTGCTGACAGACCAACCAGCAGAGGCAGTGAGAAGGACAAAGTTCATCCCTTTCTAAACACTACCATTGGCTAAATTATCACTGGGATAACATTTAATACCTGTTTGTAAAAATGATGACCTTGAAAATATCTTGATTTTATATTTATAAAGACTGTCCTGCTTATTTTAAACAATTTTGAAACACAGAAAATAAAAAACTTCAGGTTTCTAGTTATTCCACTCCCCAATAAACATTGTTCGAGAGTTTGGTTTATATCCTTCAAGAAATTTTTTTATCTATATAGGCATACATATACACATCTAAAAGTGTAACTCCTAGAATCCCAGGTTCCTCAGGATATTGGGGTCACCTTTTATATTAGTCTGTAAATAAAATACCTTGAGTCCCATCCTAAGTGGTTTTGAGAATCTAGCATTTTCTCCAGTTGTTTCAACAATTCTAAGGAGGATGCTAACATAGTGGTTGTTTATTACCTATTGCTTTGGACTCTGTCCCAAGTTTATTTGCTTATTGGTTTGTCTTGCCTCCTCCTTATCCTGCCGACGTGCTAGTTTTTCTAACATCTAGATAACACCTCTTCTTTTTTTTTTTTTCTAGTGACTTCTTAGGTACTATTAAGTGAAACTGAAATTTACTGAAGGTTTGGGATTTTGAGAGAAGATGAAAGAATTGACTCTTGCAGGTATTATGCTTCATATTTAACTTCTGCTTGTTTGTTTTTCATGGTCCTAAGAAATTATTATACTCACTATTGTGATACATATCATCTTTAATGGCTACATTCATAATATGCTTGGTAGAGGCCAAAAATTGTGCTAAGAATTTTTCACACATGCCTTATTAGATCTTCACAACAACCCTAGGAATTAGATATTATTACAACTGTTACTTTGCAGATAGGAAACTAAGGCTAAGAACAGCTAACTTATCCATGCTCATTCAGCTAACTAAAGGGTAGAGACATTTTAAACCCAAACAACCTGAAGTTCCATATTCCCACTATGTTATTCTGCCCCTTGCCTTTATGATTATCATAAATGCTGCTGATCCGAGTGATTATTAATGGGGTTCACAAAAACCAGTCTCACTCGGATCACTTCCTGTCTGGTAGCTACATTCTTAACTCTTAATTACATGCCATTGCTATGGTTTGGATGATGGTTTCCCCTCCAAAATTCATGTTGAAACTTAAGCTCCCGTGTAAGAGCATTACGAAGTGTGGCCTTTGAGAGGTGGCCTTTGGGAGGTAGAGGCCTTGTAAATGGAATTAGCACCCTTGTAAACTTGTTCATGTTGCAAGGAGTGCTCTCTTGTCCTCTGTCCCTTCTGCTGTGTGTGGACACAGGTTTCCCTCTTTCTGGAGAGTGCAGCAGCCAGATGCCATCTTGGAAGGAGAGAGATGCCCTGTCCCAACACCAAGCCTGCTAGCAGCTTGATCTTGGACTTTATAATATCCAGAACTATTAGAACCATTCAAAATAAATTTCTGTTTGTTATAAATTACTCAGTCTCGGGTATTTTATTATACAACCCAAAGTCATCCATGTTTCTTTTGTCTTATTCTTAAAATATCCCTCCAAACCAGCTCCCCCTTTTTGCAGCCTTAATAATCTTAATGAGTCTGATTACCTTACTTTTCCTTGAATATTTGTCATTAAGATAAACCAATAGCTAAGTTAAACTTTTCAACCCTGTTTTTTTTTTCTTAAATGCCTCTTTTAGTAATTTTTATTGGGCTAAAAACTTCTCTTTCTATAAGGCAATCTGTTGGAGAATCCTGGAAATCATAGTCTCCACAAAGCAAAGGAAAATTCCAGAAGTCACAGAAATACCATGTGTTACTCAGTTTTATATCACTGGGACAAAGTACCCAAAACCAAAAAGTTAAAAAGAGAAAAGATTTATTATGACCATGGTCTTTTGGCTAGCTTCATAGGACCTGGTAGGCAGCAGGGAGAGAAGTCAAGGACAAGAAAAACCCTTCCAAGGGCACACCCCCTGTGACCTACCTCCTCTAACAAGGCCCCAAATCCTGAAATTTTCTCCACTTCCCACTAATGTCCTCAAAATTATTAATCCATCAGGGGGTTAATCCATTCATGAGTGCAGAGCCCTCATATTTCAATCACTTCCCAAAAGCCCCACCTCTGAACATTGCTGCATTAGGGATCAAGCCTTCAGTACATGAGCCTTTGACAGACATTTCAGATCCAAACTATAACATGGGAGACTTTATCTTTGATATTTGAGGCACCTCTGGTAGAACTGTTCATGAGCAAGGAGCTGCCTGAGTGTAGTCCCTGAACATGAATATGGATACCTTAGTGCTTTTTCACAAGATACTTGTCTTTACAAAATACACATAACATTTCAGCAAGATGGATAATCAGATATGATGGCTGCCTGCAGCTGATCTGACCAAATTCATCTGTTTTTTTTCCCCCATTTCTTCCAAAGGGCATAGAACAAACATCTAACTTTAAGTAAATTAATAAAATGTGTGTGTCCAGATGAAATGATACTGACTTTCCTCCACCCTGTCCCAGATGCTGAAAAAATTTCTTGAGAGGTCTGGCATAATGTCACAGATGCTTTGAAAATGATGACTTTTTAAAATTCATGAACCACTGTTTTCCAAAGAGGATTTTATGACTTTCTTTTTAACTACAAATGGAAACATGTTCTTGAAAAAAAATGGTTATGATGCACTTTTTTAAAAAAAATATCACAGCTTAGCAGTAAAACCAAAAACATACATGCCATTTGACAAGTATCCCAACTTGTATCTTGGGATTTGTGGGAATTTATTCCAGGAAATATGACAAGATATCACCAAATATGTTAAATGCTGTGTAATAACAAAGCTTAGAAGTTCTATGTCCAACATAGTGTTCAAATTATTGAATGTCTCCTTGTTTGTGCATTATGTAAAATATAAAGACTTTATAGAAATATAGAATGATGATGATGACATGATATAAGTAAAATATAGGACATGGAATGATATTGTGGACCTTCTTCCCATAGCAATTATATTCTGTAGTTTTATGTCCTGGAAGGAGGAACAGCCTTCCTGAGAAGATTGTGCCCTGACTCCTAGTCTTATTCCTGCCTTGCTACAATGTCTTGAGTTCCTGATGCATGGGTCATTATCTCAAATAATGAAGAATCAAGTGCCCATGGTGTCAACTTCACAATTGTTGTAGTACGCAGACCCACTTACTTCTCAAAAGATATAGAAATTGACTTCCACCAAAAATTAGCATTTGATTCAATAAACTAAATAACCACAGATTGGATTTATTTATCTCCATCTATTAATATATTTAGAAAAGTTTTTAAACTTGATAGCTGAAGATGAGATGAATTGAGAATTTTCTTTTACCCAAAACAAATGCCTGGGCATCCTTTCATGGTCTCTGTGCCTGAGATTTAACTGTTCCTTTTCCTCCCCTGCCCTAGGAAGGGAGGGATTCGCCTTGGGTTTTATGATTTGGACTCTCTCACTTAAACATTTTGTAAATATTCAAATGTGGACATGTAATGTCTTATGACACCCTCCTTATTTATTGGTGTTTGTGTTTAAGTCTCATGGGGTTGCGTATGTTCATCATTTCCCTGATAATGATAATGTAACAGCTTTACACACACACACACACACACACTTAAATCAAACACCTTACCCGGAATGGAGCACTTAGGCTCCCTTTACTTCAAAACAAGAATTTCTTCTGTGGAACAAACTCTCTCACTTGAGAGAAGGCCCCAGTGTGTTTGGCAGAGAAGAAGATTGCCTTTGATTCTGAGCCTCAGCAGAGGGTCTCCTAGGGATTAAACAGGTTACCAGGTGAAGGAAAAGTTCAATGAGTAATGACTTCTTCATTCTGAAGACCTTTCTAATGATGTGAGTTGAATACCCTGCGTATCATGATGGCCCACCTTTGTTCCATGCCTTGGAGGTACACTCTTTAGATCCTGTAGCTGTACTTGGCTGTGGGTACTTTTAGTCATGCTTATAGAAATTCATTTATAATCTTAGCATTTTTACTTCAGAAAACTTATTTTATCTGGCTTATAGTTTTGAGGATATTTGTGTGGTATTATAGTTCTTAAGCACATTTATGTTTAAAGAATCAAGTTCATGCAGGATAGAGTAAACCTGGCCTGGAATTAACACACATTTTAGTTTCAAATATAATACCATAATTGTTCTCTAAGGCAGAGCTTGAAATGTTGAATGACATACTTGTTTAATCTTACTTTTTAAAACTTCATTAAATGTCTTTAATATTTGTGTAGTTCACATTACTTGATAGCTATTCTGTTTCAGTTGAAATAAAGAAAAAGAGATTCCATGAGTGGAGGGGGAAATCAAGATTAATCAAGTAAAAATTATATCTATTTATTGAAAAACATATTTTAAACCAATACCTGATAGAGTAAAGGAATATTAAATATCTAGAATATCACAAAAGATAAAATATTAGAACATATTATATTTCCTTTCTAAACTTCCTAACATTTAAGTTTAAAAGAAGTGTTTTCTGCAAATAGCATGATTTCATTTATTGGTGAATAACATTCCTGTTTGTGCATGTGTCTATCATATTTTCTTATTCGTCTTTGATGGAGCATATATCCTGATTCCATAATTGTGAAATGGCCACAGGAAATGGATACACAGGTACCTCTTTTGCATAGTGACTTTCCTTTAGGTGTATATTGAGGAGTTACATAGCTGTATCATATAGTAGATCTATTTTTAATTTTCTGAGAAACAACTTACTCTACAGTTTTCCACAGTTTTTGTACTTATTTACATTCTCACTAAAAATGTAGGAGAATTTCTTTTTCTCTACATTTTTGCTAGCATTTGTTATTATTTGTTTTTTTTTTTTGTTGTTGTTGTTGTTGTTCTAGGATATACCTGACTGTCAAGTGTATTTTGACGTATTATACATACATGGAGTATAACATTCTAATAGGATCCCATTATTGTGGCTCTTATGTGATGTGGAGTGTAACTGGTAAAGTATTCATATATGAACTTAGGAAAGTTATGTCTGATTCATTCTACTGTCTGTCATATAACCATTCTGACTAGGGTGACATAGAATCACAATGTAGTTTGAATTTGCATTTGATTGATGGCTAACACTTTTGAGATTTTTTTACATATTTATTGATGATTTGTACTTCTTTTGAGAAGTGTGTGTCTAGATCATCTATTCTTTTTTTTATTGGATTACTCAGGTTTTTTGTCAATATGTTTTTAAAGTGTCTTATTAAAGCAGTATTGTTATACACGAAAAAAAAAGAAGTGTAGAAACGAGACATTTTCTGTTTGCAGCCTCACATTCTAATTCTGTACAATGATGAGTATCATACCCTTTGGCTGTGTTTGAAGAAGGAATATGCTTGAGTGAGCAACTTTTGACATTTGAAAATCAAGACTGTTTACATTTAAGAGAATTCACTATAGGTGGTTTTTAATGAATTTAAACATATTTACAAACACCCAGTAAACTCTATTCTTTGTTCATATTACTTCCCTTTAATTATATTATTTTCCTAAAGTTCAATAACTGTAAACACTATAAATGAAGCCATCTGTCCAGAGCAAGTAATGATCATAGCTCCCATTTACATTATACTTAAGTTCAAAACGTTTCACCACTTAAAAATGATTTAAAAAGCTAAAAAAAAAGGTGAATAGTTGGTAGGTCCATAATTTGGGAAGAAGTTATGTATAAATTGCATAACAGATTCTGAATTTATATCCAGAATATTCAAATAAAAATAACATATAAAATATTTTACTCAGATAACCTGTTGAATTTCTAATATAAAATATAATATTATATCTTGTGTACACTGGACTACAGTATGGATCTAGATGTTTTAACAGCCTGATCTTGAAATTCTAGAAAATTAAAACAGAATGATTTTGTTCAGCTAGAGATTGTTTCAGTTTTATATTTTTACCCTTTATCCTTTACTCCTCACCCCAAAAATATACTTGTTGGGTGAGTAATATGTAGTCATTTGATAAATATTCCTTATTTTCAGTTTTTGAGAGAGCAGTTGTTAAGTATAATTAGTGAAGAAGTGTCTTGGGTACTCATCATGTTCCAGGATTCCCAATTTCAAAGAGAAGAGAGCTAGGAGCAAATCCTTGTAATATTTGTAAATATGAGTAGACAAAAAAGATTCCCACCCTTTGGATTAAGAAATCAGTTCTTTCATCCTGTACTTCAAAAGATGTCCTAAGAAAAAATACCCAGTCTCTTCACAGGATTATGTTGAGTGGAAGCAGGAGAAGAGAAACCCCAATTCTTGTGTACTTCTGTGTATGGGCCTGGGGTTCTGTTTTTGTCTCTGCTCCCTTCTTAAACAGCCTTTCTCCTTTTAATTGCAGAACTCTTTCAAAATTTTGCTCCCTCATAATGATATATGAGAGAAAGAGAGAGAGAGAGAGAGAGAGAGAGAGAGAGAGAGAGAGA